CCTGAAATGTAAAGAGGATGCGGAAAGCTCGCGAACGAAAGGGGCGATTGAATGAGAGACAATGAACGCCGATGGGTAGTACGGGCGAGTTCATTGAAAGGGTACGAAGCAAACGAGCCAAGTTTCGCCCGCGTATCGGGAGACACTGCGGCTGCCATCGAGGATGGTGCGTGTCTCGCGCACAAACCGTCTCTTGTGCGTGTGCATCAAACTGAAAAATCAAACGCGAGACGAGAGGGGGCGTCCCCATTGTCCGTCGCAGACTGGTAACACTTACGTCTCTGAATTTTCGTCCCGACAACTTCGATACCGGTCACCCACGCGTTTCTGTTTCTCCTGCAACGGTCGCGAGCCAATCGCGAAGGCAAACGAGCGCTAACGCGGCGACACCGACAATGTAAATACACGGGAGACTGAAAGCGCAACGACGAGGTCGTAACACCTGCTCGACCATGAACTTGGAAACGCGTAGACGCGGAAGCCCGCCGAAATATCTCCTCTACGATGAAAACTAGAGACTCTTTAGCGAGAGTTGCGAAATAACGTCAAGGTTAAGGGTACGCCATTTTTCAACTAACTCCGCGAAACTCAATTCGAAAAGCACAGGTTGCAATGTTTGTTTCTTGAAACCTACGTCATTTTTCTAGCGAATGAATATCGTCCGTTTTCGCTTTCGAAATATTTTTCACTGCGTCCGTCTGTATTTGAAATTTTTTAAAAGTTTGCGACAAATAAACAATTCGTGTAATTCTTGAAAAGAACCAGCACCAGAATGGAGCAACGTAATTTCGCGACTCTCGTTAGATCTCTAATGAAAACGTGACTGGTGCCACGAGACGCACCGCTTGAAAACTGTCACGAGAGACAGCACGCGAGCGAGTAGCTTCCGACGGATGCATCCCCCGGCCAGTGCCGGCTTAAGGCATGCGCCGCAAGCTTCGATTTCACGCCAACTGAATATCACGACTTCTGATGTCGCCAAGTTACGACTTTGTTTTCCCGTGATTACTGTGCGTTACGACGAGAACGTGACACGAAAGCTTTACGTTGACGAATGTCGTGACTTCGTGTCACGTGGAAATGGACCTTTAGGAACTACAGCCCCAGGGGCCCCCAGAGATTGGGTACAAAGTTATTTCATTATCGAGCGTTGAACCAAAGTACGGCCACTTGAATTATGTACTTGAAAGTGGTATAATTATGTATTAACAGTTTACCGATCGGGAATGTGACAAAGTTCAACGATATTTCTTATTATGGTAATATTAGCGTTAAACGATATTAAAGAAATCGAGTTTGATTCTTTTATTTCCAGAAGGGGATTCTTCGTAAAAAGAAAAATTGAAACCCACTTCCGGAAACGTGTCAGGTATGGGCGCATATGACTAATGCTAAAACGCACCTAACGGTTTTCGGTATAGATTGCGTTTAGCCACTTTGTCAACGAAACAAGTTGTATCGAGTACATTAAAATCCAAACGAGTATAGACCTACTACCAATCGAAACATTAATTACGAATACTTATTCGCAACTGCGTTGACCAAGCATCGAGTTACGATATTTGAAATTACGCACACGTTCGTGCCACTATCTTCGAAGAGGTTAGGATGCCTTTATGGCAAAAAAAATGGGAAAATAAAGCGCATATGTACCTGACGGATTCTTCGAGTAACTTTTCTCTCTAAGATACTACAAAACGAATTTGATTCCACGCTTTCCATTCTCGCACAAAGAATCAACCTTTTACCGTGACACCCTATGCATACCACGAGTACCTGTGATACAAGGGCCCACACAATCTTAATCCGTTGCTGCCCACGTCGTAGGGTACCGTGCCCGATCATACGGCGGGCGAGCGCGGCTAGACGCGCACGAGTTTCGCGAAGATAGTGGGGAAAAAAAAAAGGAACGCGATGAAAGCAAAACGAAAAGACGGGAGGAAGAAAGAGACGCCGTTACCGACAGAGCGACACACGGTCTACACCGCACGTCACAGGGGGGCACGAGTCGTAGCGACGTCGTTTTTCGTAAAACACGAGACGGGCGTAAACGATCGCACAGACGCTTTCTACAGAGATAGGGCGACACGGGTGCGGCGGGAAGCACTGTACACGGTGTCGGTACACCCGGTATAATGTAACACACCGATAGCAGAGCACCGCGCGGTCGTAACGGCGACACGAAGAAAGCGCAATGGCCGACCGCTGCACCTCCGCTGGTAGCTTCGATCCTTCCGTGACCACGAGGATAGTCTCACACACTGGTGCATCCGATCTGGGCTCGACACACGCGCGCGACACGGCTGGTCCGTGGCGACGGAAACGCGGATAACCAGCGGACGTGTTTTACGCGTTTACACGGGACGATTCGCACTGTCCCGATCGTATTAACCCGCTGTCCACTCGCGCCAGACCGCCGCGCACCGTCCCGTCCGCTGGATAAAAACCGACTGACTGGCATGCTCCGTTTAGAGCCGCGCCGCGATGCACCGCCGCCGGATCATCAGGTTAGGTGGGGCGGGCTGGAGGGGGAGCCGCGAGACAACCGAGGATGAACGAAGCCATCCCGATTGGCGGGAGCGAGACGGTGATAGACGCGCGGACGACTTCGATTGGGCGTGGTAGAGTCCCTAGGCTCGTCTTCGGATACCGACCGCGGCCGCGATTCTTCGCGGCCGCCATATTTCCTTGGCGACTGACGCGCCAAATTCGAACGCGCTTCTCGTGGCTTCCAGCAACAGGACGTTATTAAGTTATAGAAACACCGATAGTTGAACGTAATGCGGACGCTTTACAACGATGGAAATCGAAGGGGATTGAATGAAATTTCACATAGATAGGATAAAGATAGGAGGAGTTTTGGGAATATCACAAACACACAGATGTTGATCGTGGATAGGTGCCTGTAGTACCGGTATACAGATAATGGCGTCATCTAGCGTTGAGAATGAGGACTATTTCTCTGGAAACTTGGGAATCTTCCCACCGAGGGTGCTAATCTCCGATTCCAAAGTAATATTTAAATTAGAGATTGTATATATTTGTGACACAAACGAATGTGGCAAATATATGCTATCAGCGTATAGATTTGAGATGGGACTTAAAAAAAAAAAAAAAAAAACACCTAACGTATCCTCAAATTAGGTGGTCTATACTTTCCGTCGGGACACGAACAACTCCTATACAAATTTCCAATCGGATCGAACCAAAACGTTAGAAGTTATAAGGAAATCACAAACGCAACGTCGCCGCGAATTTCTTCGCTCCCTCCCAAATCATCTCACGCTGAAAAAACGAGCAATCTCAGAAGCGACGTGTGTAACAATGCATCTGGAGCATCGATCACGCGTGTCATTAATGGTTGCGGTTTGCGGTTAGAAGGGATCGAGAGCTATAATTCACCTGGCCCGGGTAACACACGATGTTGCGCATTATGCGCTCGAGACGATTTACGATGTGCATCGTCTCCGACAAAACAAAAAGCCGGATTCATTTTTGCCCCTAGAAATCTTCTCGGTCGTCCTGCGCTCGCGTAAGAAGTCTCGACAGCGTGAAACTTTATTCCTTTCAAGATTGGAGTGAACGAAACGTTTGTACAGGGTGTTTCAGAGCGCGTGGTACTCGACGAGGGATCTAGAATTGGATTTAATACTGTTGTATCTTTGGGAGTAGTAAAAGTGAATGAATAACGTTTCCAAATAAATGAAGCCACCAAGGGTCGTTTACATCGACGTTTTTTGATTTGTTATCGAGAAATAAAGAATTCTGAGAATTTTGAGAATTCGATACTCGTGGAGGGGGTGTCCTGTATGGACATGCCCTTGGAATAGTAAAAACAGAGGGGGTCGGACTGGATAGAAATGTAAACACAGTTTTTTTAACTCTTCTGGACGAGCGATGCTACGCAAACAAATATCTAGACTAATCGATACTTGTTACCGAAGGCTGTTACATTACCATCGAGGCATCTTATCTGTTCCATTTCAAAGTTTCCCTTCTATTAGAAATATTCCACGTAATTTTGACTTGGCGAATCGAGCCTTTCTTAAAGTAACCAACTATACGTAGCAATTTAAGTGCTACGCGGGCAAACTTTTGTCAACTTTACCGGAAGTTCGAAACGTCATAAAACGAAATACAGTTTGGATCGAGGGGAACGCTCCCTCGTACCCCCCAAAAACTCTCGACGACGCGCCTCGTATCGAAAGTATGTCAAGAATTTCGCCGTGGGCCATTTTCGCTAATAGCTCACGATAATTGGTTCACCGTGTTCGTCGCGGTTGCGCCACGAAACGAACCGTGTCAAAAGCGGCCTGTTACTCGAATTATGAGCATTTTTTGCCGCGTCCTCCTCTGGTTGATGGCGGTGAGGTCACGATCGAGCGAGAAACGGCGAAAAAGTCGCGTTCAGCAGACGTACATCGAGGAAATTCTTCTTTATCGAAGGGAAAAAATAGATGGAATTTTCTGCCCGTCTACCTTGCGCACGATAAAAAAATATGTTTTCCCCAATTTTCACTTGCCACGAATGCACAGACACCCGTCAAACGTTTTCGAATATTCGTCTGGAGCTCGAGTGTCGTCAGTGAGCAGGACGAACGAAAGGCAATTCGATCTGGAGAAAAAGATTCGCAGCTTAGAAAGCCTCTGCGGCCTGCGGAACGTGGTTCTCGTTACTCGATACACCGGCTCGTATCGTTCGTGGTTGCACAATCGTCGAACCGATCGTTTATACCGAGACCGAAAAATATTTTTTACCGACTGCCCTTATCATGCGAGTGTAGGGGTCTCGATGAATTGTCCGTTGCTGAACGCGACGGAAATACCACGGTGGTTTGTCTATTTGGAAACCTGGATTAACGGGGATAAAAGTATAATCGATGCTGACCGATTGGGTGGGCTATGGATTCGAATTAAACTAGAAATCGATTTGGGTATTACTGGGAGTATAAAGTCTCGTTAATTGGGATTAATCGAGGGGAGAATCCGAATTCGTATGAGAAATGACGTGAATAACTTTTCGATGCGAACGAAGTGTTTTCCATAATAGTCAGACGATGACTGAAGAGGATAATATCAACTTCACATTTTCATAACATTTTCTAATCTTGGAGTGGATTTTCTTGTACAAATACGAAGTCGATCCGAGCAAAAGGTTTCGAGAATCTCATGGTAAGAAGCTGTTAAAAAAAAAAAAAAGAAAATAGAAAGATGAGAAACAGATTCCTAACAGCGTCTGGCGCATCGTATGCAATCATCGAATCATCCGCATCTTCGGGGCCACGTAACGCAAAGAAGATGGAAGGGAGGCTAGAAAAAGCGATTCGCCATGTGTTCTGGCGACCAGAGCAAATGTATCGCGTGATCGACGCAGTACACGCATCAGTAGCCCGTGGAGCATTAAACGAAATACACGTGCCGTGATTTAAATACCGTCATCGATAGTCATCGATCTCGTCATCGATCTCGTCCCTGCGATTATCGAAAAAAGAGAAAGGACGATGGCGTAGTTCCATCACGTCCAAGCTAAGAACATGGTATAACCGTCTATTTGAAAAGAAAAATGAGTCTGGGGATGAAGTGGAAGCTGGTTCTGTTCAGTTTAATCGTAACGTCGATGTTATTGGACGTTTGCAACGGCACCAACACCACCTGGGACAAAATACGGGAGAAGAAGGCGAGGATCGTGAAGAAGCTGAAGAAGGACTTCCGCAAGCTGAAGAAACAAGATGGCGCGATTAAGCTGGTGGGTAGCGAGCATAGCTACGAAGGTAAGACAAAACGGAAGTGTTATTACACGAGGGGCGTTCTTTTGTTCGACGGGTGAATATATAAAATAATCATTCTTTTATATGTATTTATAATAATAATGTATAAAGTAAAAGCCAGACGAGGTTCAAAATGTCACACTTTTGGTGTTAGCGGTGGACGTCGAAAAAATATCTCTCTGGCGCGATTTATGGAAGAAATACGAGTTTTTTTTTTTCAATTTGAAATCAAACGTGACACGAGGTTCGAAATTCGAAACTCCCGCTTTGACGTGGAGTCCTCTCCGTGACGCCTTGCGCGCGAATCGCGACAGGTGACCAAATAAAAGCATCGTGTGGCAAACGTGAACCGTACGGGGTGTCCCAGTAATCGTGCGATTAACGACAACTATTTCGATTAAGAGGAAAACCAAATTAGGGGGCCAAGCATTAAGTGTTTCTTGGGATATTTGATTTTACACAGAAAGATTAAAGAAAGGGTTTTTTAATTGTTAGAATGTTATGTTCGACAAAAAGTAAGGAAATCCTTTTCTGTAAAAGGAATCACGAAAAACATTGAATACTTCTTTGACTTGTTTCATCCCCCTTCTAAACAGTGTTAATTACTTTTCGAATTCGTTAAATTCTCCCAAGCTCTATTTAAAGGGCGACCCAGCAGCTTTACGCCACATGTTCAATCTTTTATCTGGCCGTTTGCGGTTGTAGCACAGTTATCGGGACACCGTCTATAAATCTCCGTGCGTGGAAACGCGAGTTACGTGAAACGTTGCGGTTTTATCCGTCGTTCCTCGGTTGTTCGTTGTGCAATGACGATTAAAAAGGGGTCAACTCAGAGGATGATTTATGTCAACGACCATGTGTCAGCGTAGTAAACGTCACGTAGGCACAGCACCGCGAGTCATGAGATGGGACGGTCATCGTCAAATTGGACCATAAAACAGGATAGAATCCGTCCCAGACGTTCGCGTGTCAATTTTTATTGCTCTCCATCGGGCGTATTACATTCCATTCGCTCTTCAACCTTATGCTGTTTCTGCAGTTTTGCCTCCCGCCCGCCAACATTTTCCAGGCTGCTAAATGTTCGCGCTTAATCTTACGCAGCACTTTATTTCCGCGTGGTTTACTATAAAACAGTAACTCTATTACCAGCCGGCAATCGTTTCGACTTGTTGAAGTTGTTTGCCCAAATTAAATGATAGATTTGATGCTTTCAAATAAATGATCCATCGGGCGTATTACATACATGCATGAACTGACTTTACACATGTATATGTTTATAATAACAATTTATTTTTAAACATGAAACCTGACATTTAATTTAGACAAATTTTAGAAAACTATTATCTAAAAGCGTCTACATCAGCCTGGAAACTGTTATCCTATAATCTACGACATCCACATCCCTAATGTTTAATTTAACGTGCCAATTTGCATACTAATTAAGCAAGAAATTCAATTTCCCCATATTACGCCATAACCTCAAACAGCCCGAGAGCCTCCGTCTGAATTGTGCCACGACCTTGCGAAGGTCGAGAACCCTTCGCCCGGTTCGATTCGCTTCGAATGTCGCGCAAGCGCCACGGAATTGCACCGTGCAATTTCCGTAAACCTTTGCCACCGGTTAGGGGTAACCGGAAAACTGTAAGGGGATGATTCGATTGGTGCGCAGGAAACGTGGAAATACTTCACGACGGGAAATGGGGCGGCGTGTGCGACGACGAATGGGATTACTTGGAGGCCAATGTGGTTTGCAGGCAATTAGGCTTCGACGGTGCAATTAAACCGACGGCGAACGGTCGCTTCGGCCAGGCCAGAAGTGAGATAATATTGTCTCTTCGTTCCGGTCAATACTTGCCCCCTGTTGGCTCTACCAACCTAACGAATAGGAGGAACACTCTGTCGATTAAGTATAAACGTTGAGAACCACTAGCGAGGGAGGCTGCGAAGAATGCTCTTGAATCATTCCTTGTTGAACACGATGTAGGGCGGTTGAATTAGGGAGTGTTTGAGTCATCGCTTTGTTGTTTGTGGGTTCTTTGGGATTTTAGAGGGGAACACCAAAGCTATGTAGTGGGGATATCCAAGCACTCCAGTATGGAGATCCAAGTATTCTAGCTGGGAATCTCAGTGCTATGGCGTAGAAAAGATACAAGCAATCTAGCTGAGAATATCAGTGCTATGGTGTGGAAGAGGTCCAAGCATCCTATTGTAGAGATCCATGGCCCCTAAGAATCCGAGTAATCTTGGCTTAAATCCTCCCAACTTCGACTCCTCCAAGGGGTAATCTTCCCAGCCCTCCAGCCTCGTTTTCGAAAGACCCCGGGACCTGTTCGTGCCCCGTCACTGGCTGTATAGGCGACGGGGGGTCCTGATTCGTTGAAAAAAATTATTCCAGGAAGATACTGGATGGACAACGTATACTGCGACGGCAGCGAGGAGGAGCTGTCCAAGTGCAGGTTCGACGGATGGGGCGCCACCGACTGCGAGAGCAGCGAGGCGGCTGGTGTAATTTGCGCCCACGGTGAACAGGACGAGGAGGGGGAGACGGCGACACGAACGAAGCCCAGGAGGAAGCCGCAGAAGTCGAGGATCAACGATATCCATCAACAGGGAGTGGCGATAAGGCTGGTCGGGGGTCGCGTCCACTCCGAAGGCAGGGTCGAGGTCAAATTAGGGAACTCTGGTACTTATCTTGAATTTCCAAGTAAAACATCTTGTTTTACACGTGTTTTATCTAGCGAGTAATTTCAGATTGGGGTGTCGTATGCGGTGACGGATGGACTCTGTTCGAGGCGGGGGTGGTCTGTCGTCAGTTGAGCCTTGGTTACGCTTCTGATGCAGTCCAGACGAACTTTTTCGGGGGCTTGAAGATACCAATGGCTGTCAGCGGGGTCCAGTGTCGCGGTGACGAAGACAGCCTGAGCCAGTGTCTGCACGACAGGACTATGGACTGTCCAGGTGAAAGAGATGTTACGAACTGCGAAGTTTCGCAATCCCTTGAATTTCAGTTACGACAATTGCTGCCAACAGGACTCGTCGAGAACGTGGCCAGCGTGGTCTGCCACCGGGAGATGCCAGACCTGGTGTTCGACCACCTGGAGTTGATGCGCACCGCTCACCTGGAGGACAGGCAACTCTATTGGCTGCAGTGCGCCATGGAAGAGAATTGCGTCGCCTCCCAGGCGTACAAAGTGCAAAAGGAGTCGGAGAACTGGCACCTGGAGACGCGACGACTGCTTCGTTTTACCGCGAGGATCCTGAACGCGGGAACCGCCGACTTTCGACCCTCTGTTCCTAAACACCTCTGGGAATGGCACATGTGTCACATGTGAGTGATAGCCGGTTTAGAAACCAGTAACAATATTGTCTTGCAAGTAGTTCGAACAAAAAGATTCGTCCCATAGAGGATTATCCAAACGCAAGAATTGTTAATATCGTGTTATTAAGTTGTGTTGCGTTAATATTGTCTTAACGACTCGAAGTCTTCGTAAGTTAACATAGATGAACAAATTTTGTTTTATTTTTATCTGTCCACTGCTACGATCTCCCTGATGCACCGTGCAGAGGGTGGGTTACGTAACCGTGGCTAGGTCGAAGCTCCAGTTTCCGATTATATAATTCTACCTATTATTTTCAAGCACCCCTACAGGAACGTAAAGTGTAAGTGGTATCCAATCCCGTACCAATCGATAGCATGGTTTACGATTTCAATCGATATCTGCTCCTCGAGGTTGTGATTTCGTAGCCAGCGGCTAGGTTATCGTCGTAATCGTACCACGTGAAAACGTGTAACGAAGGAAAGTTGATGAGAACGTTCTCCTGTTTCGTTCACCGAGTTGCGACAGCTTGGCTGCTCGTGTTTCGGCTAATTCTTTCGAGGAATCCCGTGAAACTTTATATTTCGCGCAGTTCTCGCTATCTCTCGTTGCGTTTTATATAAAACTCTCTCACGGGGAAGAAAGGAAGGGAAGTAATATCGGTCCAGTCGAGTTTCCAAGCTGTTTGGCGCAGCCTGGCCCCGATTTTATCAACGGCAGCTTTGCAGAACAGCCGTGTTCTTGGAAATGATATCTGGTTAATGCTTCTCCCAAACCCTCCTGGCTTTGATGCTCGAATCCCCAAGATAGGATTAACCAAGAAACTTCCAGAAATGAAAGTTTTATGAAAATCCATTCTATGCGTGCTGTTAACCACAGGCATTACCACTCGATGGAGGTGTTTGCAACGTTCGACGTCCTCGATGCGAACGGAACCAGACTCGCGGAGGGCCACAAGGCGTCTTTCTGCCTGGAGGATAATCAATGCTTGCCCGGGGTCGAACAGAGGTAAACCTAATTAATGCAATCGTAATTTATATGCTTTAACGAAAAACTCTTTCTTCCTGGACCAGCTTCAAATTCATTTTCTTCGACACTAAACTTTCAGAATTCATCATTAAATAAAATGTACGTATTCGCACATTTTTCTTGAAAAAGTAGACGAGATCACACTTTCCGATATTTCCCAGTACAAATTTTACGTAATAAACTTCAAAGTGCATTGTAATAAACCTCGATACATTCACGGATCGGAATTGGAACCGAACGCGATCAGCCTCGTTACCAAATATCGTTTGGCTTGTCGACGCGAGACGAAGGGTTCCCAATGACATTTTTTTTTTTTTATCCCCTCCTGCGAGTCTCCCGCGACGCGTGTAATTGGCGTGCCAATTAAACCGCGCACGGTACACGATTTCAGGTACAAATGCGCCAATTACGGTGACCAAGGAATTTCTGTGAACTGCAGCGACGTGTACAAGTACAATATCGATTGCCAGTGGGTGGACATATCCGAGCTTCAGCCTGGACAGTACACCTTCAAGGTACCACCGGTGTTTATACTACCCTTTATTAAACCTCTGACCGTGGCGCGTTCTCGTGCAACGACTGCACGCGCCAGTGTTCCGCGAGATGAAAGCTTCCGTTGAAATTCTATGGATGTTTCGTGGACGTCGAGACGCATTATTTCCGTTTACTTTTATTACTGGACAGGCGTGAAAGATATAGAAATTCATTTCTATACCTAAACATATTAAAATCCATGAAATTCCACACGTACAAGAAACACTTAAAAAATTCTTTCCAATAGAAAATCACAATTAAAAACATCGATGTTCCATTGGAAATGATGAGACACTCGTACCTGCCATTATGGAAAAATGATAACTGTTGTTTACAAATACGGACCATGTATTCGAAGATTTTGATTGCACCAATGGGCGGAAAGGATCGCGATTGGAACGGCCCCGGTCCATAAACCCGATTGGGAAGCCTTGGCGATCGCGATACCATAGGAGGGAAACGATAATCGAACGATATTTACGTTTTCAGGTCGCGGTGAATCCGGAGTTCAAAGTGGGCGAGATGTCGTTCGACAATAACGCGGCGATTTGTCGTTTGCTCTACACGGAAACTTTCGCCACTGTGCACAGTTGCGTCATGGGGCGTCCTTGACACGAGCATTCACGATAATTCGTCGAAGGAAAAATCGAAGACTCGAACAGATGCACCGTCCTTATCGACTCGTGCATTGAGAAATCACCGCGACGCTTGTAAACAATAAAACTGATTACGTCTGGTCTCCAGAATACGATTCGCCAAGATTTCTAAAATGACATTTCAAAACAATTGGAAACTACGTAATTCGTTTGTCAACGTTATTTCATGAATCCTATCCAATCATCCCTTGGAACGCGAAAGATAATTCGAGTGTCGGCTACTTGTTATCGAAAGAAAAATCTTACAGCCGTAACCTTTCGAGACACCTTTTCATACTAATTCCTAGCGTATACCTAGCGACCTTCGTCCTTCGGCTGGTTTTACGCGCGACATGGGTGAACCGAGAAAAAAGCGTTTCGTTTTTCTGGTGGAATGGCGCGGGAGATGACCGCGGATGACTGTAATCGGTGGATTATTTACGCAACGAGAACTTAAGACGGTATGGATCGGCGCCTTGGTCGCGCAACCAGTCGGACGGATCGAAGCCGTCCCAGGACAACCTCCTCGTAGCTGATGCTCGCCGCGCACGGAATCTCAAGTTTGGAAGTCTAGGACCGAATTTATAGACGTCGTCCCCCGCGCCCGCTGTCCTCATAGTTTGTTCTAGATTTTAAACCGTAACTACGCTAATAAATGAACAATTCAGGAGAGAGGTTCCTCGTGTACCGGGCTCTCTATAGCTTCGTGCACGCGCCTAGTCGATACTCGGTGTCCTGGAATACCGCGACTGGTTCGCGAGCCAGCCTCCGACTAGCGTCTCGTACGAATGAAAATTATCATCTGACGCGTTCGCTGCCACTGGGTACTTTTCAAGATTCTCACGCGAAAAACCAACTTAATTTAATCGTATTATCTTGTTATAGTCGAACAGCGTGTAGAATGTGTATTTAAAAAAAAAAAAAAGATCTTACGAAAAGTATTTGTTCGAGTTTGAACGATTTTTTGATTTTTACCACTAAAATAAACCTGCCGCTAAATAAAACAGACTCGCGAATAGCTCGCGAAGGGGAAGTTTGAGTCTCCAAAGTAGGTCGTTCTTTTTTTAGATTAGGAACCTTGTACCCTGTCACCTTCGATTATGGTTGCTCATAATCTGATAATTAAGAGCGGGCAAGACATTGTCGCTTCACCTACTTTTCCCTCGTCGCGAATAGGGGCCTTGGTCGTCGACTAAGCTGCGAGATAATCTACCAGTTTCCGATAATATCCGACTCTGCAAATGCTTCCTATCAACCACCATTTTCACTTGTCTTCTTATAACAATAATAATAATAATAATAATAATAATAATAATAATCCAACCAGAGGTCCTCCAGAAAAACCCTCCCCCACCTCTAACCCCGTCCCCCAACCTTACATCGATCACCATCGAACAGCCCTGTCTCCTAAATTTCAAGATCCCTGAAAAGAAATCACATCCTCAGCGTCCTCCCAAACAGTTCAATCTCGCGGAAAGCGCCTGCAATTCGAACGACTGCCAAAAACAACCCCCGTAACCTCTCCTCGTGCCTCTTGAAAAAAAGAAAAAAGAAAATTGAGAAAGCAAGTGGAAAACGTGGAGGTTTCGTAATAGCGTGATTCACCCAAGTCATCGATTTAGATGAAATGGAACATCGAACTGGGTTAACTCTTTCGAGGAATCTCGCTGTCGCCTTCGATCATCGAACGATGGTGGGGTTCCCCGGCCGTGGCGATCCTAGCCGCCAGTCAAGTAAAAGACCCCGGCTGTCAATTAGATCTCGCATGTGCGCGGCTTAAATGGCTGCGGAACACACAACGTGACTGAACGCGTAATAAGTTTAAAAAAGGGGGGATGCCAAGAAGTATGGCTTCCGCGGTGGTCACTGCCGTGTGCAGTGCGCCAGCTGCTCCCTTCGACGCGGTCATCAAAGTTACGCCTCGTTGCGTCGCCGAAAACGCAACGTCGTTCAGTCGACCCCTAGAACCAGGCATAGCAGCTTTGGACGAACAAACAACGGCTAGGAATTCAGTTGGGGAGGCAAGAAGCAGAGTCTCGGAGTCTCGGAGAGTTGGGATAAGGAAGGCCTGGGCGAGGCAGTGCCGTTGCTAGACACCTGTCTTGTAAACAAAGTGGATGTTTGATGAGTCATCGAGAGGAGGCTAGAGAATCGAGAGAAAGGAACTGGTGGAGACCTGGCGAAGACTTGGATGGTTACTTGTAATCAGAGTCGAGACTTTAGCGGTGGATGGAGAACACGTGGACCAGAGTTTCGGATGAGAGGAGGTCAGAAAAAGGATTCGAGACATAAGGAGACCTGGATTCTCGGGTAGATCTTTACTAAATGCAAGGAGAGTCGACGCTTATCGATTGGGAGAACCGATGGGCTAGAGTTTGAAATGGGACGAGTCTAGAGGCCCATCCAACAGAAGTCGAGCGACCCACGAGTGTCGGAGGCTTCAGCGTCGACTAAGCGAATCGATAATGGTGATTCGGGGAGTAAAGTGCGTGTGGAAGCGGCAAACGGGACACCTCCGGAACCCCGCGTCCAATCCAATAGGTTAGGAGTGTAGGTCTAGCGGGAAACGTTTAAGTGGATCGTCAGAGATTGGGCCCGGGTTTGCTGGAGTAGAGGTTGGCATTAATGTGAAATGCTGGCGTCGATGGTCGTAAACACACGGGAGGAGAACGTGTTCCAGGTGGACTGTTGGACCAACAGTGGGTCTCGTCACGCGATTTGATGGATCCCGTCGTGGTTAATGCGCTACTGGGAGGATTACGCTTCCACGAAGGATACCCATCGCGATAAGCAGCTCGTCCTGCGTGTTCCAGCGTCGTTCTCGAGCGTCGATCTCCTGCCGAACGATCCCGAGGATCTCTGGGGAATTGGTGGAACGATGGGTCCTCTTCTCGAGGAGAACATCTCGGACTGACGCCCAGGAAGTCGTTTGACTGAGTGACTCGACCGGCAGGGGCTTCCCCTTCGATGGGATATCGATTAAACAGTAGACAATGACGGGAACCTACTCGAGACTTTGCTCAGCCAGTGACACGGGCACGGTCGTGTTCTTTTGAAGGTCCACCTGTGTCGATGACGAGGATGTTGGCCAAGGTCACGATCCTGCTGACTCTTCTTCGGCTGGGGCTGTCGCTGGAGGATCGAGCCGTGTGCTCCAGGAATCGCAGCATGATCGAGACCCCTGGCGATGCTGTGCTGTCCCGTAAGGGCAGGATATTCTTAAGGCGGTGTGTCGCGCAATTTAGGGTGGGCTGGGTGTTTTTTTTTTTTGTGAAAGGTAGAACAAGATGGTACCGGGATGAATTAGGGACGAATGAATTTTTCTATAGCCTCGATAGGCTATTTGTAAAGGGGACCTTATTTCATCGGGGTATTGCGTGATGCGCGCTGTACAGAGTGATCTAAGAAATATTAGAACGAAAATTAAGACAGCGTCCTCCTTGTACTCTGCTTTCTTAGTCTACTGTGTACAGTGCTTCGCTCGATTTGAAATCGGTAGACTGCGAATTTTATGTACGTTGGAAAATAAAGCCCAATACGAAAAAATTTTCCGTAGAATCATCCGCTACTCGCTGGTACCATCAGTTACGGAACACCCTGTATTATCTTGCATCGCAAATGCATAAAATCCGCAGTCTAGTAACCAGTGGGGACCAGCTCCTAAATACATGATTTCGGTTTGTAATATTAATTCCAGTGTTCCTGGACATCAACCATGGACCCTACTGCAACGTCACGTCTGCCAAGGGTCTCCAAGAAATCACCACGGCCTTTTACGTGGCGCACGCTCTGAATAAGTACGAGTTCATCCCTGGTCTTTCGCTAGGTGAGCTGAGATTGCAGGGGCCAATAGACAACTCTAGCAATGTTAACAGTTTCCTGGCACTTTCCTTCATCGCGAAATCCTCTGTCCAGGCTTGAAGGTCTTCGACACCTGCCACGACGAGATGACGGTGTTCAAGCAATCCTTGCAAGCAGCAGTGGACTCCGACTGCACAGATCACTACGAGATGGGGATCCTGTTGCCATCCGAGTACAACGCGATCCTGAAACCCATACGCAACTATAGCGTCTTGCCCATCAGCACATACGAGGATCAGAACCTGACCAAGCCTTTATTAAACCTGATGGTGCACTACCTCAGCACCAGGTTCGAAATCGTCGACCTGTTGCTGGTCGACTCCGAATTCGCGTTGAACTTCTTCATGGACGCCACCAAGGAGGCCGGCATCTGCGTGAAAAACTACGCGAAGAATGTGGAGCTGGACGAAGGCGACACGGAGGCCGTGATAGCTGTTATCGGCGGTAGGAACGACGCTCGACAGTGGATCGAGAAGGGTGAGAAGCTCCAAGGACCCAGGAAGACGTGGATCGTCCTGCCGTTGGATGGGTCCAACGTGGACGGTGAGAATGTGACCGTTAGCAAGTTACTTGTTGCTTCGTTGCAATACGTCTCCGCGCAACGAATCGAGAAAATTCATTTTGTAAACGGATTACGTTAACTGGATTTTCTCGAGCTCGACTAGAAATCGGTTTAACTCCGATAGATTTAGACCGGTCTCATCCTTTTAGAAAAGAAAGGCCTAAGTAGGATTCGGATGATCAAAGTGCCATCGAGTTGTGCAAATAGCGCGTGACGCAACGAAACGTGGGTAAATTGTTTTCAAACGATTGAAACAGCATGAGTCGTGATGGGGAAAATCTTCAAAATACAGGGCTTTACAGAAGGTCTCCATGTTCCAGATCTCATACCTCTAGGATCCTACGTGGTGAGAACGCCACCCTTCAATCTGGACCTACTTCAGGACGTGTCCTCGACAGACGATTTCCTCGCAGCGGCAGGGAACACGGTGATCCACTCGTCGCACCTTCTAGGCGTCGGCAAAGCTGTGTTCGAGTTGGCGCAGGTCCTCCAGGACCTCCAGAGGCGGAACTGTCCTCGCAGAACGGAGACCACCTGCCTCCTGCCGCGGTTCAACCCTCACACAGCCCCAGAGACTCGCAACTCCGACGTGTACAACGCTCTTCGTATACTGCCGAGGCTCCACTCCATCAAGTACATCGTGGCGATGAGGACTCAGCAGGAATTGATCGACATGGCCACCTACAGGGTGGAGCCGGCGAATCTCAAGTTTAGGGTCACGCCAGAGTCCAGGGTGCCCAAAATGCCCAAGCTCTGCTTGAAGAAGTACGCCAGGAACTGCGAGGACTGCCTGAACTTCAAGAAGAGGTTCGGTGCGCGTGGTGTGATCACAGGTTTGCAACAAAAGGACTGTCTTACTTGGGCTGGGGGAACATTTTAGATTCAGGGGGATGGTTGGAGTCGGAGGTACGTGTTGGAAACGTTTGGTAGGAACGAAAGTTCTCTTTGTCCTTTTGACTTCTATGTAGGTTTGTCTCTTTGTCCTCTTGACCTCTTTCATGACTTTTCGTTAAAGAACTAGAAAAATTAATTCTAATTTAATGGAGTTGTAGGACAACAAATTTTAGGACCTCGTCGAGATCTACGAGCGAGATAGAGTCCACTTTGGCATCCCGTCTTCCAGGGACACAAAAGAAAGTCCTCGTTAAGGAATAATCGGATAATTAGAGAACCTCGATCCGTAGATCGATACCCCAACCCTACAAGAACGGTTTCTCGATAAAACGATTCCCAGACGCTGGGTAACAACGGACCAACTAATGTCCCCGCTCGTTACAGATACACTCGACAGGGGTTTATTAAAGTCGGGCAACTGGATACCAATTTTCCTGACGGTGGTGGTGTGCGGCACATTCGCCTGCGGCGTGATTGCCGTCTTCATTATCTACCGCTTCATCGCGGAGGACGTCCTCGATGGGAATCCAGCGCTAACGATCGTCCTGATACTGGCGAACATTTTCACGCTGCTGACGGTCCTTCCGTTCTGCATCAACGACTACTACGTGGGAGCAGAGGCACTCAACTCCAGAAAGATCCTGGTGACGACCCTAGCCTTCGGAATCGACTTCTCCGTGATGCTATCCAGGGCCTTCTTCTTGGTGTTCTCCAAGGGTGGAGTGTTCACTGCTCACATCAACGGATACCTGCAAGGCTTGATGGTGTTTTTCATGTTTGGCGTGCAGTTCGCCATATCGATCATGTTCTTTGTCCTCAGCGACGAAGACTCCGCCGTCGTCGTGAGGAGCCTTCTCTTCATTGCTCTGCTGGGTAAATTGTAGCCTTCCTTTGGTTTCGATTCAGTCCTAGTTAGCTCGAACCTTGCCTCCTTTCCACGTCCGCGCGAGACCTGACCACCTTTCTTCTTCCGTTCCACCTCCTCGTGGATAAATAACCTGAATCCAACCCTCGTTTGTCCACGTCCCAGCAGAAAACACTTAACGAAACCGTCCTGCGTTTACGCTTCCAGAACGAAGCCTTGGTAGAATTTATCGAGGACCACCGTTTAATAAATCCCCATGGTGTTTTCCAGGTTACGACATATTTCTACTGGTGACGCTGTTCGTGGTGTGCTTTTTTATCGCCCGATTGCCGCGCAATTATCGCGAAGGGAAGTGTTTCTTCGGGACCTCCATCGGTCTGCTGATCACCTGGGCCATCTGGCTGACCTGTTTCATCTTGGTGGAACCAGAGTGCCGGGACATGGTGGTCTCCTTCGGCATCGTCGCCACGGCGTACTTGATCATCATCGGGGTCCTCGTACCGAGGACTTATTACATGGTCACCCACCTGGCCAGGGGGAAGGAGTATGGCCAAAGATTTGGATCGACCGATTTGGGCCACGATCCAAGGATCAACTCGATCATGAGACAGGTCAGGTTCTCTTTTAAGATATTCATTAATTTCTATCTTTACATTGTTTTAAATGAGGCTACTCAAGAACAGTGACAATCCCCCACTATCCTTCCACTCGAATCTGCATGCTCGCGCCATCTGTCGCGCGAACACTCAAGTTTACAGAGATGGCGTTAAAGCACTGCCACGAAATAAAGACCGTCCCTCGAAATAGAAATTCATCGTAATTTATTTTACCAAGCGTTGTCATCCGGAAACGTTGCGCGCGAAAAAATGCTTTATGTTGCGCAGACACGTCCGTTTTACGATTACGTGCACCCAGCTGGAGGAAGCGTGACGAACCTGCAGGTCGCGCCCGCGTACCCGAATTACTATGGCAGCTCCAGCCCGAACCAGAAGTACCTGACCCACTCGAGGAGCCCCGACTCGAGGAGGATCCCCGGGTACAACAACTACGGATTCCACACGGAGATGCGAGAAGTGAATAACGCTTACAAAATACCGCAAGTCTGCATCGAGGATGCGGACGTGAGACTTTTTCAAACTTTTTTCGAAGCACGTTTTTGTCAATTGTTTCTCGTAGCCTTGGCAGCGACCTCCGAATGGTTACACGCAAAACTTCTTTCGTGGTACGCGTATCCATTCGCGAAGCTCTGGTAAATTACCAATGGAAATGCGATAGAGGTTAGGTGGCATTAGAGGCGCCACTGGGGAGCGTGGTGGCGCCAGTGGGAGGGAAGAAATGAATTGGCCGCTCAAGGCCACCGAGGCCCCCCACCAATTTGTCTGCTTGAGGTAGAAAATCGATTCTAATGTACGTCGGCCGAGTACATTTTACTTAATGTAATACCTACTGTCCGATGGTGCAGACGCTAGAGCAGAACTATGTTTTACGTCAAACAGATACTTTGGTTATTTAATTCTACGCAAGGATTTTTGCTATAAATAGGGTTTAGACAACATTTCTGATGAAACTTTTTTGTAAAGCAGTCTTGTCGAAAGTAATGTAACCCCAGCTTCCTTTTTCCGTATACTCTCCTATCGATACAAATATATGCGTGTTCCGTATTTCGTAAGTAAGACGGTCGTTGTTTGTTATTTTGACAGCGAAAGCTCCTGCACAGAAAAGTTTCATGAAAATTGTCGAGATATGTAGCGTTCTAGGGAGATGGTGACGTTGGACGTTACGTTAAGAACTGAAGAAGTAACGTTTCCAGTCAAGAACGAGCCCTGGGGAAAGGAGCAGCGTGAATTCCGCGTACGCCCGCCCCAAGTGCCACAGGAAGAAGAAAACGAAGAACGAGAAAGACTTCGTCGAGACAGACGTCTACGTCGAGAGTAACCACGGGACCGCGAGGAGATCCCACGATGAGATGTATCCCGTGAGATCCGTCAGCCCAAGATTGACGCAAATGGAGGCGACCATCCGCGAGGAGGACGAAGAGGACAACGTAACGAGGATAACGCGATTCTGAGACTCTAATCCGCCAGTGTTCATGTTGTAGTTACGCGTCGAATAGAGAACTGTGAACCCTCTTCAAATAAATCCTTTCGGTTCGAGCGATCGATTGTTTTTTTTTATCACTTAGTCCCTGTGAACTCCGTACCTTTGAAACACGCAACTTAAAAATAATTGAATCCCGAGGATTCGAATGCCGTTTCCGATATCCTGTTTTCGTTAATAAAAATCTTGTTCGGTGTCTAGGATATCGAGGATATTTTTCTGAAAATGGACCGCAAGGTTATGGAAAGAAACTCGATTTCAGCAACGAATCTAACCGTGAAACGGAAACTCCCGTTCAATTTCCCGCGCGCGAAATGCCCGATGCACTTGGTCCGTCATTGTCGACTTAATTAAAGTACAAAACGAAGCAACGCCGTGGGAGAGCTTTGTGCGAGGAAAGGACTCGCGAACGGAGAACCAATTCCGCATGTTCCCTTCCGAAATTGAATTACGGTCGATCGTAATTTCGCAATCAGGGCACAGGTGTATGTTCCGACGGAATATCGATGACAGTACCGTAACCGGAAACCGGCAGGACTTCCTGGTCGTCGCGGAAAATTCCGCGAGGAATTAAAATCCGTTTGAAGATTAATAATTCACTGAAATTTCGACGTGAAATATCGTCAAAGCGGCACCGTCCCGTCGGTATTCAATATCCTGCAAAAAAATTCTTTGCGTCACATTCCACGAAATATTGTTTTATTTAAGTATTCGTAAGTCTGATTTGTTTTGAATATGTACTAATAGAAGAAAACGGCGAATGCTGCGCGAACCTATCGCGAAAACTACGCATGGTTCGGGCCAATGTTGTGATATTTTTCGAAAAATAATCGTTAATGAGAAAGATAGAAATAAGTAGTTTTAGCGACACTTAACGTTATAGGAAGGTTTCGATACTTCCAATTGTTTCTACAAAAAAAAATTCTAGAAAATCGGCTATTTTTCAATCGTTCGAGCCAGAACGCTCCCTTAAGGATCCATTGTTCGCAATGGACGACGAAACTTTTTTTCCGCGCCATGAGTTCACCGTGAAAAATAACGAACATCCAAGAGCGGCTGGCGGTCGGCGATAAGCCGCCATAACTGGCTATAAATCGAAAAGCGCATCGGATCGTGAAAGGGCCCCTGGTGCCCGTGAGCTCCGGGATTCTGAAAAAGCTTCTGCGCAAGAACGCGTTTCGACCGCTATAAAAGCTCGATCAGGACTGGCTCGCTTTCCAGTCACGTATATACATCCCTGTTTCTTGTATCGAGTGTGGAATTCGAACGGGGGTCCCCGCGAAACAACCGCGACGGAGGTGGATACGGTCCAGTTTAACTTTCATTCGATTAGGAAAATATTTTCGAGCTGAAATTACGTGAAAAAATCTCAGCTCGTTAAAAATATTTTCCCAACGTGGGTGTTTTAGTCCGAAGCGACCGACATCGTTCGCTGATGGGAAAAGTAAACGGAGAACTCGAACGGAAGCATGCAATTAGACCTTGGTAATCGCTTATTGGCTGCTTCTCCGTCGAGAGCTGGTAAGGAAGTTTGGAGCGAGGATGTTCGACAATGTGAAAAATTCACGAGCGATCCTCGTCGCTGTGGTCTACCTGAGCCTCTTCCTGGATAATGTCTTACTCACGGTTGTTGGTAAATATTAGTAACGCTTCCATAGCCGATGACGCCATTGCGGCGACAAGCATGGTGGAGATCGGAAATTGAATAAGTGGAGAACATCGCTAGACAAAGGGCCAATGGTGAAAGTTACTCGTGCCACTAATTGGTCTGCGCGATGTTTAGGGGATTAAGTTTTTTCTCGACCCAGAGTTGGAAAAGATTTAATATAAAGGCGTCATCCCCGCCTCAAGAGAATCTCCCCAGCCACTTTTCATTAATTCTTACAATCGGTGGGATTCCCTCGCGTTTCAGTGCCAATTATTCCCGATTACCTCTGCACCATCGACGAAAACTCGACGACGAACGACGCAAACGATGAAAACGGCCGCGTGGGATTATTGCTGAGCTCGAAGGCCCTGGTACAATTAATACTAAATCCAGCCGTGGGCACTCTAACCGGCACCCTGGGATACACCAAGCCATTGCTCCTCGGGAATTTAAGTCTCCTGCTGGCGGCGATGCGTAAGCTGCACTTTTCTTCTCCCGTCTTTTCGTATCCTTCGCGCCCTCGATCGTAACGCGAACTTTTACGAAGGAAGAGAGACGTCTGAGTCACTTCCACATTTCTCGTGAAAATAATACCTTGGATTGAATAATTCAGAGCTTCGACACCTCGAGTGCCAGGCATACCGATGAAAATACTCGGAAAGCTAAGATTTTGTTCTCGTACTATTGGATAGCGTACCGATCCAACATCTGCGATGATATTTATTTTCGCGAAGAACTGACGTAAAGTTTTTTTAACTTTGACATTATTTTAGGTACGTCTTAAATTTTTCTCTGGAAAAAATAATCACAAAGACCGTTTAATATTTGGCCTCCTAATAAGATTTTCACTCCTTCCTATGTTCTCCGATCGGATGTTTATTGGAATAGCTTGAAATTCCAACTTGGAGAGCAATAATCGTTCGCAGTGTTCGCGTTTGGACAAACGTACGAGATCCTCTTCCTGGCGCGAAGCGTCCAAGGCATATCCTCCGCGTGCATAGGAGTTTCCGGGATGTCGCTGGTAGCCTCCCAATACCCGGAAGAGGACAAGAGGTCGAAGATCATGGGCTTCGTGTTGGGAAGCATCGCGTTGGGCGTTCTCGTGGGATACCCGATTGGTTCTGTGCTCTACGATCTCGAGGGAAAGATGGCACCTTTCCTGCTGGTGTCTTGCTTCATCGTCGTTGCCATATGTACGGAACTCTTTGTTCGAAAACCCACCTTAATCCACTCTTAAGCTCCAGAATACTGATACTCGAATCAACGTTTCAGGTCTACAAGTCTTGTCACTGGACATCGAGACCAAGGTTGAGGTGAGCGTTCTTCGATGGCTTGCGTTGTCTTTTTAAATCATCCACCTTGTACATTATTCGTGATTAATACGAAAACGATGCGAACGTCTTCCAGGCTAGAAAAGAAGAAACGTCCTGGACGCACCTGCTCTCCGATCCTCACATACTCATCATCTTCGGGGCCATATGGTGTTCGACGTCTCCGATGGCAATCTTGGAGTCCTGCTTGCCAATATGGCTGCAGAAACGCATCAAGCCCAAGGTTTGTGCTCCTTTTTAAACAATAAACATGTGCGTTCTGTACATACACTGTAAGTCTATTCGAAATAAGTGACACATCCTCTAAACTTTTCAATTGATCGCACGATTATGTCCTTTGCAGAAATGGCAGCTGGGAACAGTGTTCCTTCCAGACAGCGTTGGGTACCTGGTTGGGACCAATTTCTTCAGCATGATCGCTTATCGCTACGGGCGAAGCAAGGTCGCGGTTCTGGCCATGCTGGTCGTTGGCACCAGCGCCATTTTCATTCCCTTGGCTAGCACCATGTCGCAGCTGATAATCCCTCATTTGGGAATGGGTTTGGGCATCGGCGTAGCCGACGCCGCTCTGGTACCGCTGTTGGCCAGCCTGGTGGACCAAAATGGCGACTATGGGCCCGTTTATTCCATTCAGCAGGTGGCTGTCAGTCTGGCTTACTCGCTTGGTAATTGAACTTCAATGGAATAGTACAAACGTTTATGCGTTTACAAGTTTAGAATCATCCCTTTCACCTAGAACTATTCTAACCAAGTGCATTTATAAACATATGAACTTACAATACCATGGATATAGAAGTTTAAAGACTATTTTTTCCAGGGCCAATCGTGGGAGGCGAGTTGGTGAAGGCGATCGGGTTTCAATGGGTCATGGGTATTGTGGGGCTTGTAAACATTGGCTATTGTCCACTGTTAATATACCTAGCCCTGGAAAGGAGAAAGCTACTAACCCAGGATGACAAAAAGAGGGACTACGAGACCTTTCAAAAATCGGTGGCAAAGTACGAACGATTTCAGGATTCCGACGACGATCTTTGATCGCTCGCCACACCTCGACCTCGCTATAATCAAGAATACTGTTTTGTAGTTGTTTCGACGCCATATTTGTGTAAATTAATCGATAATTTTTAACATATACAATTTCGAGAGAAAACATCGTCTTTTAAATTAAACTGGATTTCCCAAGAGACTGCTTAGGAAAATAAATATAAGAAAGTAAATAAAATATCTTACAAACATTTAAAATTCAATAAGCAATCGATTAATCAGATGGGTACTACTACTACTACTACTACTACAAATTCCAAAACGTTTAATTTCAATTTCAATCAAAGAAATATTACTTATATATATTCTTTCCTTCACTCTGCACATTTATTATCCCTGTTTACTTTTAGCCTCATTATCGCATAATTAGGTAATAAGCCCGCCATATTAAATTACGGCGGTGCTCGCGTAAAACAAGCCAAGTTCAGAAGAAGTCGTGCTTTTTAAACGTAACCCCAACTAACCTAATTAACCGTTAGTCGTTCGTATCAATTTCCGTAGCTACTCCGCGTCGAATTCATGCCCCGGAGAACGTTCAGAAACAACATTACCAACATCATTGTACTTCCACTTAACTGTACCATGGGGAGTAACTCCGTCGTAACTTATAACGAAGTAAATTACCATCTCCTAAATTACTATGCAATGTCCCGAGGCTGTTAGGCGAGCCACGACAGCGTCCAAGGAAGTTTCCTCAACCGAAGGAAACCGAGACATTAAGGCAGTTTCCAAATACCACGACTGCAGGATGCGCGAGCCTCGAGGGTCCCTCGTACAATTTAAATAAAAAACTGTACTCGTCGCTTTGGTACACAAAAATACCAACCTTCCAAGTCTCGACCTGATAGCTTTTACAATAAAGTTTCTGCCTATTATCGTACCTTTACGATCGTTATAATTATCAGGTACATTTGTAATCCGTTAGACGCGTAACAAAATAAATAAATAAATAAATAGAGTGTCCACGTGAAATTACGCGAAAACATATAAATAACGGAACAGTCCCTGCGATTCGCTTGGTATAAAATGTGGCGTCG